ATGTGGACTGCAGGCACCGAGATTCGAACCTTCAACCTTCCGGTTGGGGGACGACTGCTCTACCCACTGAACCACTGTTGGGATCAAGTGAAATCTGTGACACAGATCATTATAAAAATCTAGCTTCAGTTTAGTGCCTCCCCACCTGTTTCACCTCTAAAAGCAAAACTACAGAATGTTTATCATAAACCCAGGCTTTTCTGTGAAAGTAACCAACACAAATAACACTTCTGTGTCCGTGGTTTTGGTGTGAATACACAAAGCTGACTGGACTCCACTTGGTCTCTGCAGGTCCCTCTCCAGACCCTATGAGCAGAATGATGGGAGCTCTGAGATTGGACAAAGTGTCCAGCACAGACAAGTTGAGTGACTCATCTGTACAGACCAGCCAGTCAGAAGCAGTCAGAAGTGATTTTAGTGCAGGCTCTGTACCAGCACCTGGTCTATGTCTGGACCTTGGTACTCAGAGACTTCAGTCAGAACCAGTGGCTGGCGCAGACCACATTAAGGTGAGGAAAACTATAGCAAGTCTCTGGTGGTCTGTGTCAGGTGGTCTCAGTCCTCATCTGTCCCCCTCAGATGGCAGCCTGTCTCCCCCCGGACCAAGCGGCTATTTTCCTTTTTCTGATGAGGATGGAGGGGCGGAGCTTTAACCCTGCTGATGTCATGGAGGCGGTCCAACTTAACAGAGATTTCCCATCAGCCCTCAGGTTCCTGACTCACAGCTGTCCCATCTGTCAGGACCAGGTGACTTTCAGCAAGGTGAGTCAACCAGCCAGAGAGCAGACAGTCTCAGGCTTCAATGTTCAAGGATCCTGTGCAGTAAAATCGTGTCTTGTTTTTAACATTATCAACACACATAACAAATCTACAATGTATCCTGATGAAAAGACTTGAGCTAGACGACCTGAAAGTTCTGCAGTATAACTTCTGTTTCTGGCTGGTGGTTCACTTTTAAACTGATTTTGGCAACTATATAATGTTTCTTTACATTTTAATTGTTAATAAATTCAAACCTAATGTCCTGACAACCAGGGCTCACAGATAGCTTTTTCTGTCAGTGCCCCAGAGCTGTCCCAAATCCTTCTTGAAACTGTCCCAAACCCTAACAACCATCATACCAAATAAGGTCACTTTTTATATTATAAATATAACCTAATATTATGTTTGAGTAGTTTGCCTAATGTCCCACCTCACCATCAAAGTTCTGCTAGTCTGAATAAAAGCTTTAGAGCAGAGACGCACCATCAGTGAGTGTCTGTTGTGGTTCATCCTCCTGTTGTGCCCCATAAGTTTGGCACTACTTGGTTCCTGTTGGCGGCTTTTTGGCCCATTTGACTTGTTGCATCGGCTGGTTGGGCCTCGCTGATGAGAGAGACCACTGATTGGCTGTTGAGCTTAGCAAATCAATGCACAAGAAGGAAGCAGTTCAGAGAAGCCCTTTCAGCCTGTCGCTGTAGTCTCCATGATTTCACCTATTTAATGCGGTTCTTCCTTGTTTTTCACCTCCACGACCTCCTTTCTTCTTGCTCAACCAAAAGACCAAGGGCAGAGAAGGGCGGCAGCATTTGCAGATTCTTATGAGACATATTCTTAATTTTTTGAACAAGAGCTTCTTTATTTATAGCTTATACTTCTGCATCCTAGTTTTTCTTTTTTCCCTTTCTGAATGGCAAATACAGATACGGCCACCTGCTGGTAGGGGCAGTTAGAAAGCCAAGCCAAGATCTGTGGTTAGAAGCATTAAACACTTTGTAGAACAGGCTTTTGTAAATGATTTGTACTACAGTAATATTGGACTTACCATAACATATTCTGACTCACATTGGGTGGTAAACTATTTTATTAAAGACTCACATTCTGCACTAAACTATCTTATTAATGTTTTTAATGAAACTACAGATAAACATGCTCATGTTAAAAACAGAGGATCCAAAACAGGAATAATCCCTGGTTTTTAACTGGATTAGCAGAAATGCTACATACTAGAAATAAATTCAATTCAGTGTTATTTGTATCTTTGCCTGTGTTTCCCGCAGATCATCACCATGACTCACTGCTCCTGCTTCCTGTGTCAGACGTGTTTTAAGACATTTTTCTCAGTGGCCATTAAAGAGCGAAGCATTGATCAGCTGGTTTGTCCACAGTGTGGCAAACCTAAGATCAGACGTCAGGGTGGGATGGAGGAGTTCATGGACTACTTCAACCTGCTGGACACTCAGGTGAGGGGGTCACCTGGAGGCCCAGGTGTGAGAGACAGGTATGCCCAGTACTGATCCATAACAGAGTCGGTCTACATTGAAGTTTATAACATCAGAGATTATTTCATCAGTGAAAACTGTTCATTCATGTGTTGCTGTTGTTTTTTTTTTATTATGAAAATAACACAAACTAAATAAAAACAATGACTATGACTAAATAAATGTTTTTTAAAAAAGCCTCTGAAAATGAGAACTGTGGTGACATTTTACACTTGGCATCTGTAGTAGTTTGGGTCTGATGTTAACGAAATTAATTCAGGCAAATCATGCCAATTCAAATAATCATTTAATATTACAATAATTCCGAACAGGTCGATAAGTTATAAGACACTCCAGCAATTTGGTAGATAGGGAACAGAGAACAGAATCACTCCTCCTGCAGTGGAACAGATAAAGTATTAAATAAGGAGACTGTCACAGAGTCAGTCAGTCATCGTTGGCCCTACAGTCAGATCACCCTCTCCACCCGGCTGGGTCTAAACGCACACTCACGACTGCAGCACCATCCTTCCTTCCTACCACTGACCCACAGCTATCCTAACTTTTATCTTCTCACGGTTACACCTCCTGTACACTCCCCTCCTTCTGGAAATTGTCTGAGATGTCCAGTTCATGAACTTCTAGGTTGCATTGACCTAGCACCCATTTCCTTTTCTAAACATGAACCGAGCACACGAACAATTCACATAAGGCTGAGGCTTCCCATTTATGGGAGGCTTCTCTCTGGATGTTAAACTAAAAATAAAATAAACAAAGAGGACATGAGCCAGGATATTCTTGCTTGAGCATACTATCAGTAGATAGTTACCAAGGATCCTCATGCACAAACATCTCCAAACAGTTAAGAGAAACAGATCTCTCCAAGATTATATAAACACTTAGCTCACCCTTACATGACTACTACAAATATCTATATGTAAGCTACACGCCATATTCTATTACATATCACCTTTGGACTGGTATCTTGTTTGTTTTTGACCACTACACATCAAAGAATAAAAACTGAAAAAGGATGTGAAAGAGATGATGAACTAGTGACTTTCAGTGTGAGGTTTTATCAGTAGAATGGCAGACGTTTGTCCTTTAAGTTACAGCAGTGTGTTTAAACATTGAGACAAACGTCTTCCATTAAAACCCGCTGACTAACAACACGCGCTCTTTTTTTTGTAAATCTCTGGTGATTTTTGTCGTGTTGCACTGAAACGGTAAACACACTGTGACACGTGCTCTGAGCAGTCGAGGCTGAGGCATTGTCTTCAGGTGGAACATGTGTCCTACTGCCTCTGTTTGTTTGTTTGTTTATATAGATCCGTCACTTCCTGCCACCTCAGGTCCATGAACTCTTCCAGAGAAAACTCAGAGATCGAGCTCTGCAGGAGATGCCGAACTTCTGCTGGTGTGCTCATGTAAGAAACAGACTGACTGGACCAGACAGTGTGGAGCTGAAACCTTTAGTCAGTCAAAAAAAAAATCAACCAGCAATCACTAATGATCAACTGTGAATTGTGCGTACCACAGCCCTACCTGTCTACATTTGATGGTTTCATTTTCTTCAGTGTGTAAATTTTGCACTTTCTCCAGTCTTATGTTGCCATAAACTGAGTGTCTGTGGACTGTTGGTCAAAAACAAAATGCTATTTGAAGACGTCACCTTCATCTGACATGTTCAGTTGCATATGAATTAAAAATAAACCTGTTAGTTGCAACTGTCCTGTTGGTGCCCATCAGTCGTCTGACTCACAGAACGTAAACGTGTTTTATGTGATAAATCAGTCCACACTGATTGGTGAGATGTAATCTCCTCGCATGCCTATTTACATCACACAAACCCCAGCTTGTTCACAGCATCTGTAAGATATGATAAAAGACTGATGGATTAGTACACAAAAAAAAGCTGCTCATGCAGTGTACATGAAATGTGCTCAGTATCCTCCTGCACACAGTTATACGAGCCCCCTGGATTCCCACGGTTTGACTCCAGTGGGACCTCAGACTGGATCAGGACCTGCATTTTGACTGTGATACTATCCCTTTAATCTGATGTGACCCAGACTGACCCAGTTTAGTTGCTAGTAGTTCTGACCCCAGGACCTTGAACACTCAGACTTTTGTGCCTCTGACATGCTCTGTACACTAGTCTCTACAGCTCATATACGTGTGTGCGTTTCAGTGCTCGTTTGGCATGCTTCATGAGGCTGATTTGAGGATGGACTGTCCCAGCTGTCAGAAGAGTACCTGCTCTCAGTGCAGATCACCAGTAAGACAAACACATGTATGGTGTGTGTGTGTGTGTATAACAGTAGCATGCTGGCAGACATTACTCTGATCCCAGCGCACACATGGTGTTGACCTGAAATAGTCCTGAGTGTATTCACACACTTCAGCCCATGATATTGGTACATAAATGTAAAGATTAGTGGTCTGCCCAACAGCCATTCTGGTCTGAGATCGGAGCAGTGACATGAATTCTGTTTGTTCTGCAGTGGTCTCCTCATCATCAGGGTCTCTCCTGTCAGCAGTTCAGGGTCTGGCAGCAGCAGAAACAGCCAGACCACCACGACACCAAATTGCTCTGCTACAACAGCATCGGTACAAACGCAACACCAGCAGGGCCTTAAACCAAGTTCTGGAGGGGTTTCCAGGGCTCCTGTCACTGCTGTCCACAGCCCTGTTTCCACTGCAGGAACAGACTGCATCCCAACGGGTTCACTACCTCTGCTGCGTTTGTCTCCGCTGTCGCCCCACTTTTTGTGGCAGTGCTGTTGCTTCTGATTGGTCCAACAGATTTCTCTTCATGTTTATTGCCGTCTCTGTGGAGGGTGTTCACAGGGAGCTGGACTCCAATGTTAGATACCAGTAATAGAACACAAGATTTCTTATGGATACACAAGCATTAAACCTTTATCTGAAATGTTTGTAGAACACAGTAGAGACACAAGTAGAACCAGGTTAAAAATGGGTGAGTTCCCACAGTGGAAAAGAGCTTCTACTGTCTGATGTTCTGTAGCATCGGTACAAACGCAACACCAGCAGGTGTTCCTTCTGTTCCTTCTGGCACTGTTGCATATAAGAGTGTGTGTTTGCTGTGTATACGTAGTCTATGGTTTTATTGTGTGACTGTATTGCGGTTCTGTGTTTGTGTGTCCTCAGAGTGTCCGAACTGTCACTTCATCTTCAGCTTGTCTAAAGGTGGCTGTCTTCACTTCACCTGCAGCCAGTGTCGGCATCAGTTTTGTGGAGGCTGCAGTCAGACCTTCAGTCTTGGAGCTGTGAGTCTCTCTGACGATACTGTGTTCTGCTGTCAGTGTCGGCGTCGCTTCTGTGGAGGCTGCATTCTGTTGTTACCCTGGGTGAAATGCACCAGAGGTTGCCATGCTTTTTTACCCGAGACTCCTGGTTTTATTAATCCCCTCCTACTGTAGTCACTAAATACCATGAGTGTCTGATCTTGAACCATAAGGTACAAGAGGATGTGATCCAGAAGGTAATTTGGCCATTTTAATAAGTATAAACATACTATGGGTTAACCTTCACTTCATGATCCTTAACCTCAGGCAGGCACTACATGTTTATGGTCTCCTGGATGTGTGCTATTCTGCATGGCTTAATGCACTCCCTCTTCTGAGTCACTAGAGTTGACCACACTCTCCTGAAGGGCACATAAGTAAGTCTCACCTTTAAATGGAACCACCTATAGGCCAGCCTGACTTAATAGGAGCCCCTATATCTTGATGCTGCTGGCCAAGGACCACCTGGGTTTTTGCCAGGGAAGAGAACATGCTCTGTTGGGCACCTAGCCACCACAAATGGAAGACGCTTCTTAACAGTTAGAAGATGGCGCCGATGATGGCAGCCTTGGTTACTCACACTCTCCTGTGTTTGTTGTTTTTCTTAGTTTTCTAGGTTTTTTGCAACCCATCCCGGATTATTTTTACCAGAGAAGAACTGTTAAATATCGGACAACTCACACCGAACTACCTTTCTCCGATTTTTGCATCAACTGGATGTTGTTTTTAAAGTTCTTTACATGGCAGAATAAAACCCACAAATGATTAAAATAGAATAAAATCAGTGCAAAAAATAAAACGGCACAATAACACAGACAAACAGATGGCATATGTTCATCCATCCATCCATCTTTCTCCGCTTATCTGGAACCGGGTCGCGGGGGCAGCAGTCTAAGCAGAGATGTCCAGACTTCCCTCTCCCTAGACACTTCCTCCAGCTCCTCCGGGGGGATACCAAGGCGTTCACAGGCCAGCTGAGAGACATAGTCCCTCCAGCGTGTCCTGGGTCTTCCCCGGGGCCTCGTCCCAGTGGGACATGCCCGGAAGACCTCCCTATGAAGGCGCCCAGGAGGCATCCAAAACGGATACCCGAGCCACCTCAGCTGACTCCTCTCGATGTGAATAAAATGGGACCAATCACACATCCTTGGGGGACACCACAGGAAATGATGGTTGAGGATGAGGAGGAGCAGAGGGAGAAGAGGAGGGGATACCACCTGAGTTTGTTTTGACACTATCGGTTGAGAGTTTGAGGCCAAAGTTAGAGGGGCTTTAAAGCAAATGATGTAACCCACAGCTCACCTGTCGTCAGGTATAACATGACTATGTTCATAATGATTGATCCATTTCTATGGTTAAGTCTGGTCCATTTTTTTTACATTGAATTTAGTTTCATGTATACATTTTGTTAACATTGAGTGAAATGCTTTTAAAACATGTTAATTGCATAAATTAAATTATTTCTACAATGATGTCTGAGTGATAAGAGGCTGAGCAGCTTGTTTAAAGAGCTGTTGTAAGCTTGTGCAGACCTCATGTCTCACATGAGGTATGACTGTTTCATTTAATGTCCTCAGGCCTGTGGTTTCTCTGCTGACTGTGGAATGAAAGGTCTTCACGCCCACCACCCGAGAGACTGCCTGTATCACCTGAGAGACTGGAGCGTGCCCCGTCTACACCTGCTGCTTCAGGTACTGTAAGACACACCTCGGAGACTGCTGCTTCAAGAAGTGTACACAGGTGATATGTGGACAGTACTGATGAGATGAACTGTCTTGTCTCAGTGTTACAGAGTGTCTCCTTGGTTGGAACCAGCCAATAGTGATTCTCCTGACATCACTCAGACAGGTGAGGATGAAAACACTGGCTGCTCCTCAGGTGACTCCCTTCTCTTTCAGTTTGATTGACTCCAGGGTTCATTTCCAGGAATGTGTTTAGTTTTGGAGCTCAGAGATGATGACAGCAGGTGGGAGGAGCCCTGCGGACGACCTGCACTACCTGAATACAGAGGCCACTGCCAGTAAGACCAGTGCTCCCGGTAACAGCCTGCCAATTTGATCCTGGTACCGATTACTGGGATCAACTGCCGACCTCATCACAGTCAGTTTTACGTTCACCTGTACAGGTGTGTGGGTACAGTCTCCACCTGTCTGTTCTGGCAGGTCACACTATAAGGAGCGTTTGGTGGACCTGATCAACCGTTGCCAGGCTGACCCAGCAATTCTCTTCAGTTTGGCCGAGATGACAGCGGAGCTGCAGCGCTGGAACATCGCAGTGCCGACCAGGAAACCAGATGAACCGGAGCCGCTGTATGCCCGCCGCCTTCGCATGGTCAGTGACATCATCAATCTGTGCCGGTCCCTTTAATTTTTTTTGAAAACACAAAATTCTGAATCTCAATCAATCAGAGTTCCTTCATTTGTTCTTTAATTTGAAAAACTAAACCCCTTAAAATCATATTAAGATTTTAAGGGCTTCATAACTTTCCCTTTAATTTCCACATAAATTCAATATTTGACAAATACATGAATGAGGAGTTTACAGTGGTATGAAAGTTAAGGAGTTTTGGTTTACATCAGAGTTCTAAAAATATTTTCAGTTAGTAATGAGATTTTAATGTAAGATAAGATAAACCTTTATTAGTCCCATGATGGGGAAATTCACACCATTAAAGGGAAAAAAACAGGCACTCGGTATTAAGAATCAAAAAGTAACAGACAAGATATTATCAATATAAACAACTGTAGCTATAATAATAAATCATAAAAAGTAAGGCACTGCACACTGGTATGCTGTGGATTCACAGTTATTCAGTCTGTGGGCCTGTGAAGTAGACAGGAAAGAAGGACCTACCATAATGCTCCATCACACACTTGGGGTGAAGCAGTCTGACACTGACAGAGCTGCCCAGTGCTGACAGTCTCATGGGTAGGAGTCCTTCTCCAGCAGGGATGCCAGCCTGGCTAATGTCCTCCTCTCACCTACCACCTGCACTGGGTCAAAGTGTTCTCCACACAGAAGTTAAAGGTGTCCTCCCCCTGCAGATCACACAGCTCTTCCCACACAGTTGTCAAAACAGTCCTTCAGAGCCTCTTCAGTCTCATTAGACCATCTCCTTACTGTGCAGGTACTTGAAAGGGAGCGATGTTTCCACTACATGTTGAATTGTTGTACTAGGAGAAGTTACTATGTCTGCATTATGCCAGTTAAAACATGGGGTTTCTCAATTACCCACTTTGTTTAGAGGGTTACATGTCTCTTTTCATCGGTACATATACTGTTGTTAAACCTGTTTATGGAGGAGACATTCATATTAATTAATGCCGTTGTGGTTCATTGTGTTGTCCACATGCAGCAGGAGTTGTGCGCCTTCATGAACTGTCCTCTCGTTTTTAGGAAGAGACTCTCTAGTTTTATCATTCTGAAATAATTGCAGACTATTTAGAGTTATGGTGGGTGCCAAGCTAATCCAGAGGTACCCAAGATTAAACATTAGATGGCTGGAAACGAACATGCCATGGCCATGCGTCTATCACTCACAAATACTGCCAGGTGTCCTCCCTTTCTCTTATTGCTTTCTATTGTCCTGTCCATATGAGGTGCCAGCCGTCCAAAGCAACTGTTGTGTCCAGAGTGTAAGCAGCATGATGCTGCTCTCCCGGTATTCCTCCTGGTGTCGGGTCAGCACCACCAGCTCTTAATTTTTACTGGGGAGAGATCGCACATTCCCCATGATGATGGAGGGTAGAACTGGTCTGTACCGTCTCTCCTGCCCATCTCCCACGCACCCTCCTCCTCAGTGCGGTGCCATGGCTGTGCGGGATCCGGCACAGTTGTAAACAGAGAAAAGTGCAATCCCTGCAGTTTAGTGTTCGTAGTGCAAAAAACAAACAAACCAAATACAGAAAATACAAAAATGAGGAAAAAAAAGGGGGGGGGGAAACTCAGTAGGGACCCAGAGTTGCTGCTGTAACAGGCAGCCACTGATATTTAACCAGTTTATTTGGACAGATTAATGGAAACGTTCGTAACATATTAAAGGATTTTAATGGGTTTTCTGCAGATAAAAATTTGTGAAAGGTGAAAACACTAATTCATCCAAGTAACATTAGAAACCTTGTTTATTTGTACCTTTTAAAAGGAACTATTTTTCGATTAAAGAACCAATTGAGGCTTTTCCCAAAATTTCTGTGGATGTATGGATAAATTGATGGTTTATCTGATTGGTTTAAGTAGTTTTTAAAGGGTTGAAAACTTTTATGGTTATCCAGATAACATGAAACTCATTGTAGGAGTACTTTTTTAAACACTACTACAGGTAACCCCTACTTTGTGTTATAGAAGTCCTTAATACTTTGAATAAAAGCACAAATTTAGGGTTAAATAAAGGAAAGAAGATTGTATTACAGGATTTTTATAGCTTAACCTCTAGAGTCCTGAGCTTTGGAAACCCAAGCTGTGCGGTCCTCATATGAGGACGCAGGGACTCTAGAGGTTATGGGTTAAAACACCCAAAATTTTGAGGGCATCCCTTCTTGTCTCAGGACAGGAAATCACTGACACAAGGATAAAAACAAAAATAAGCATGCTTATTGAATACAGTCAGAAAAAAACCATTTCAGCCAATCACAGTGGACGATGTTCTGTCTCCTTCAGACTCTGACCAATAGCGTTCCTCTCAGGAAGCAGCGAAGCTGTCCACTCAAAAGCAACGATGACCTCTGAACTCTGCTGTGGTTGCTGGAGCTCCACTTCCTCACCAGCTGTCCTCACCTATTTAATTCCAGTGGCATCATCAATCAGCTGGTGACTTCTGGTTGGCTCTTTGATTGCCATTTAAACACAGCCAGAGAAACAAACACGGAGTCACAGAGGGGACCAAAGACGAAGCAAGCAGCCAATCAGAGTTCAGCACTGATGTTTAGCTTAGCGAGCTGAATGTTAATTGCACACTGTGAGATGCTGCTGTAGCAAGTTAAAACTGTTAACGAGCCTTGTCTCAGTCCAGAATCCATTTCTGTTTAAGTCAGCGTGAGCACCAGTTAGCATGGGAAGCAGAATGACTTTTAGAGCAGTGCATCAATATTTACTGTGACGAGCACTGAAACCCTCAGCCTCTGGATTGTGCTCTTTCTGCAGTTTTACAGTTTGAATAAATATGATAAATATCTTAAATTGTGGGTGCACAATAAGTAAAGTTTGTAAAATTGTGGCTATTTAACCTCAATTTAAAAGCTGCTGTGTAAACATCTGTTGCGCTACTTATACTAAATAAATTAAAGTTATAGACGATGGCTTCATTGACATTTACATGACATTTTTAAGCTTTTCTTCCAGTGGAATCATAAAATCAGTTTGACAACATAAATCTGTTAAAGTGTAACGTACTTTCAGTTCACTTTTTTTTGTATAGACCAATTCATCTCAGAGCTCTTTATATAGTAAGGTCTAGACCAGGGGTGCCCAATAGGTCGATCGCGATCGACCGGTAGATCGCTAAGGTAGTGTCGGTAGATCGCGTGCCATTCAAAAATAAATGTATCCGGCGTAAAACACGTGCCAAATGTTAACATGCGAATGGTCAGTGTGATAATTCGCTATGGTGACCCCTAACAACAAAAGCAGAAAGTGACAATCATTCATATATAGCCTATCATCCATCCTCCCTATGGCATTTGCTACTTGATTGACATGCAGGACAGCCAGTCTGAGATCTCGTCTTTTCTGACACACGAGTCACCAAACATGCACAGTCAACCGCACGAGCTACTGCAAAACTCCAGTGAGCGAACTACCTTGTCAGCCTTCGAATTAATGTCCACTAAAGGGTATAAAATGAGTGGGGGAGCCGAATCAAGTAAGAAACCGAAAACATTCCATGTGGAATGGGAGGAGGACTTTTTTCGCGACATTATATTCGAAATGCGTTTGCTTGATCTACCAATCTACTATTCCGAAGGGAAATGTGGAGCGGCACTTTCATACTGTTCATAAAAACTACGACACCCATTCATACATATATTTTGTGTGTGTGTGCGCGCGCGCGCGTGTAGGTCGATCATTTTGACTTGGTCATTTGAAAAGTAGCTCGCAAGGCGAAAAAGTGTGGGCACCCCTGGTCTAGACCTTACAGTATTATTGGGAAAACCCCAAAAATCTATACTTGTATCAAAGTGAGACCAGAGTTTAATGTTCCGGTGTCTCAGGTAGTGACTGATCAGCTGAATGTGCAGCCGCTCTCAGCTCACAGTTTAGTGTCGGTCAACAGCGGGCGCTGCTCTGGTTTTCTGCCATCTGTCATCGCGTGGTCCTGAGCCGCAGCTGTTTTCAGAAAGAAGACATTCTAAACAGCGACAGTCCACGACCTGATCAGTAGCAAACACCAGATAGACAGACGCCAGCATTTGAACACAGTGGGGCATTTAGCAGCTACAGAGCCAGATTTCCTAAAAGCTGTCACTACTGGTTCCTGCAGGTACAGTGGGTAGAGCAGACGTCTCCCAACCGGAGGTTCGAATCTCGGTGCCTGCAGTCCACGTGTTGAAGTGTCCTTGGGCAAGACACCAAACTGGGGGGTTTGGTTGCCCCCGATGGTTAGAGACATCGGTTGAGTTGGCACCGCAGACGGCTGCCTCGGTTCTGTACAGGAAACAAATTCATTTGTGTGTGTAACATACTTGGCCAAATCAAGGTGATTATTATTAATTTGAGATTAGATCTTGGCTAATCAGACCTGATCCAGAATCCTGTGACCCCGAAGAAACCCAAACAAAGAGAAGCAGCAGTTTGGCATTAACAAGATGAACTCCGGCTCAGGTCTTGGCCGTGCGGATTTGAAGACGTACTTAAGTTCACCGAAATACGAATTTATTTGAATTTCAGTCATTAATTGAATTCATTTTATGTGGAAAGTAAAAGTGATAAGTAAAACCGAACCTTTAACACATTTGAATATATTGTGTAGTTTTGATTGATGTCAGATTGTTTCATCAGCTACTGTTTCCAAGGTGATGGTCTCCTGAAAGAGCTGAAGATTTGAACCTCTGCGTGACAACAGGGCATTTCCATTTCCCAAAGAAGATCATGTGATAAGATCCAAGGCTCCAGAACAACAACTGCCTGGACACTGAGGTGAGACTGTTTTATTTCCAAAGTCAAGAATCAAGTTTAAGTCTGTAGGATAAGGTTCGTCTTACCATTGCTAACTGAGAGACGAGACAGTCCAAGTAACTTCAAAACAGTGCTGATTTATTCAAAGGATCACAGGTAAAATTAACATTACACGCTCAAGTATCTTGCACCTCCATACTGCACGCAGGCAGATGTAAGATGAAAGACCCTGAGCCCACCAGGCCTATACATTATATCACCTCATTTGGGCTAGCCCCATACTACACAGAAACGTCAACCGGGACGTCTCTCTCACCAGCTTTGCAGCTGGCCATAGCAGTAGTCAAAACATGAAGCAAATCAATGTGTGAATGTGTATGTCTGTTGGTTAAGTGGTGTGTAACTAAAAACATTCTCACGACCTCTAGTATATGTCGTGGCTTGAACATATTATGACTAAGGCTACAGTTATACACATCGTAATAATAATATTAAACACCCTGTCTGCTGACAGTCATCAACTCTTCTCTCTAGTTATCCCTGACCAGATGCACCCTGTAGAAACTCATAAGCATGCCTAAGCATTTAACAGTCTAACTAGACATCCTCTCTCCACTAAACATTTCTAATACATAAAGTATCTATCCAATATCTATCTGGCTAAAAATACCTAACAATTCTCAGCATTCTGCACAAATCTCTTTTTGTCATCAGTCATTAATGCGATGACACCAGTTGGATGTCTTATGTGAGTGTTGCAGTGTGCAGAATGTGGTCTCCAGGTGTGACGCTGCTGGTGCTGAAGGTAAGTTTATTATGATGTAACCTTAAAAAATAAAAGTATTCTTCAGCATGACTGTTGAGACAAACTGAGTGAGGTAACACCTTTGTTTAGTTCACACTTCTTGTCCTGATGTGTGACCTGCCATCTTTAGTTCACACCTTTCATCATTACAAAAGGGTCTTTAGTTCACACCTTTTTTTTTCATACCTGTTTTTAACATCACAGGTAGAAGATGTATATTAGATGGCAAACCTAAATATGATTTTATGACATTTTATTATTTAACACAAATTAAACATTAACAAACTTCATCAGACCAACACATAAAATGTTGTTTAACCCACAATGCACTGCAGGTCTTCACTGGCTCGGTGGTAGAGCGTCATCTCTGGGCAGACCGAAGGAGCTGATTTCTTTAACGACCCTCTCAGCAATGGTTCTGCTGTTGGCAGCGACGATTCTGCGGGACAACAGGTCCACCACACCTCCTGACCACAGATACAGATTGTCAGCTGACGGCAGCCGCATCATTAGACAAAAATGAAGCTGCTGCTTAAAGCAACTTTACCCTCCACGTCCATCAGGACTCCTCCGGCTTCGGAGACTATCAGTGAGCCAGCAGCAATGTCCCAAATGTGGATCCCGATCTCATAATATGCGTCGACACAGCCGGATGCCACGAGACACATGTTAATTGCTGCACTTCCTGCACTGCGCACTCTGGGAAAGTACACATACATAGGCAAGAAAAAGTCGGTGAACCATGTGGAATTACCTGCTTCTCTGCATTATTTGGTCATAAAAGGTGATCTGATCTTCCTCTCACTCACTTCAACCGGTTATTAAACCCAACGGTTCACTTACATTTCCACCAGCACTTCGAATGTTTAAGGGCTGGGTTCATTAGTCACATGTAAGATTATAACAGTTGGTGTGGTATCAGCTTCAGCACATTGTGTTTGTCTATAGTTGTGAATCAGCTGAAGATTGGATCACATTTTATAGCCAATTCATGTAGAAAACCAAGTGATTCCACACAGTTCACCTACTTTTTCTTGCCACTAGTGTAAACAGATTTACATTAACTCAACAAATACTTGTTACAGCAGCATCAGTACTCTACCCATGTACGGGGATGCAGAGGATGTTTCTCAGACTGGAGAAGATTTTGTCGACAGTTTCGGGATCTCTGTGGAATCCAAACTCTGTGGCAATGATTGACTGGTTGATGTCTGACAGACAAAAACAAACACTGGTGAGACTCTGGTGTCTGTTTGGACAGCATAATGTCTTTTCTGTCATGCTCACTTACATTTTGTATTAACAGAGATCAGTGCTTTGAGCTCCCTAAGATCAGATGAAGAACAGATGTAATCAAATCTGCACCATTGTCTTACCAGTGTTTCCAGTGGTAATATTCAAACGTGGCGGCCCGTCATGGCAACATCTTTGTCGCCATGACAAAAAAAAATCCAAATCAATCCAAACTCACCCGGGAAGCCCATAAAACAACATGGCAAGTTACATACACAGGTGCCGTTACTGCCAATTCAGATGGAGGGCGTTTTGGACTCAGAGCCCTATTCTATGAAATGTCTCCCAACACACTCGCACTGTGAGCCACACACATCACCCGTTTTGTGCTTCAGGTCCATCTTTTCTGGCACATTGAGTGCAGTGTAATCTCCACATACTGCTGTAGACATCTGGCATAATTTATGCTCTCAGCTGTTGCTTCTGAGTAGTAGATTTAAATTAGAGTACCTGATATATTGTCAGTCACTGGTGATGTACATATTTTGTGTTGTTCATTACTGACCCTGCTGATCAGACACCTGTAGCGGCTCTCCGTTACAAAATGCTCCTTTGCCCCTCCTTGCTGTGAACATCTTATCTTCAAGACAGCTGTAGACCACCCCAAACTCCATCTGGAGGACAGAGGTGAGACATGTACAACAGGTCATATTACAGGTTAACACAGGGCCAGTAGGGTCCATATTTAACAGGTGGTGAACTGGACTCTGACCTGTTTGTTGACAGAGAATCCAATGGAAACGGCAACAAAAGGAAATCTACCAGACAAAAATGATTCATGGAGGTTATTAAAAATTAGAGAAATTTTAATTATTAGCCCTAATAGTGTTTTCATATGGATCATTTCTGCAGTCGAAAGTAGCTCTGCTGTGTGGCTAAAAGATAAAAGGGGCCCTGTTTCTGTTTTTCTAGCATGTTTTGACATGTAAAACTAAACTATGCTCACCCAGACTGCAGTGAGGAATTGCTGTGAACTGATTCGTTAAACTGCTAAAACTTCACTGATTCATTTCTACTTAATGCTGTTACAATGAAAGCATACTACAGTAACTTCTGGCAAACTGAAGTCATTATTGATTGTGTTAAATTTAAAAGAACCTACGCATGAACAAAGTTGGTGGTCCCATCGATGGGATCAATGATCCAGGTGGGAGTGTCTGTGAGGTCACAAGCTTCACCTGCAGCCACTGACTCCTCCCCTATGAACCTGAGACACACACCCAGGTCAACTGATGATCGCATCACCATCACCTGTCCTTATGAGTTTGAGTAAATGCTATAACTGACACTGTACATATAAACTGGGCGGCTTGTGTCCACTGACCTGTTGGGAGGTTTTATTTACACAATGTCTTCAATGATTATTCAGTGAACAGTTTCTGAAACATTTTGTCTTAATAGATTAGGGCAGGCTTCTCAGCAGCTGAGACCGGAAGACTGGTCAGAACTGAGGGAAGGATGAATGCAGCCAGATGCAGAGAGGTCCTGGAAGAAAACCTGAGACTGGGCTGACAGACCAGCTTTCAGTATCACAGTGACCTGAAGCAAACGGCCAACATACTGGAGCAGTTTCAGGACCAGGCTCTGACTGTCCCTGGAGCCCAGCCAAAGTCCAGACTTGGACCCCAGAGAACATCTGTGGAGAAAGTTGAGTTCACAGACACTTCCCATCTAATATGGCAGAGTATGAGAGGATCTGCAGGAAGAACAGGATCAACTGCCAAAATCCAGGTGTGAACAGCTGGTAGAGAATGGGCCAGGAACACTGGAGCTTTACCTGCTGCCAAAGATGGTCCTGCAAAGTCCTGGATTATGGCCCTTTGTACCCTTGTAAAGATTTTTGTGATAAAAAATTACACTAGGGATGAGTACTTGTCAATGCAGAGTACAAATACAGTAGCCTACTTCATAACAATGCAGTGTTTCTACATTAAAAATGACAACTACCCTAAGCATCCAGTTTAAAGACACTTTATTTTCTTACAAACTCGTATAGTTCCTAATTATGATTATATCTAATATCCGACCGAAGGCTGCTGCTGACATCTAAAAATTAAAATGAAACTTTGTGTAAACAAATATGTGCTGGTTCCATTACAATTAAATGTGACTGAGTTTCTGCAGCTTACTACCTGTACACAACACGCTGTGGTTTTTGAGGAGTGTGATCCTATCTTAGGATGACCGACAAACCAACAAAGCCCTTGGTAAGCAACACCACACACAGTGGAGGTGGAACTTTCTACCTGTGTGTGGGGAATTTCTCCTTCACTGATTGGATGATGAGTTGCTCCACCTTCTGGTCAGTTTGTGTCACCAAGTCGACCGAGGAACTCTTTGTCATCACCTTCCTGTCATCACACAGAGCCTCACGCACCACCTAATCAATACAGAGAGAAATACACAGCTCAATACTCCTGCTCAATACATAGAGCAGTATCCAAGGTTTGAGCACCACAGCATAAATTACAGCTTTTCTTCTAATGTCAATATGTTTCTTTTTGTGACAGGTACTTTAATAACAAAAACAGCTGATCAGTCGTTAGGACACCCACCTGACTTGCACAGGTACGCCAGTGCACTGCCACACACTAACACACTTGAATGGTGCTACTCTCTAAATCACATGTGGCAAACTCAAGGCCCGCAGGCCACATCCGGCCCGCGAGATCATTTGATATATCTTTTTTTTTTTTTAAATGGCCCAGCGATATAAAGTCAATTTCGGCTTTTCCCGTTTAGGGGTCGCCACAGCGAATCGTCACACTTACGACTCGCAAGTTGACATTTGGCACGTGTTTTACGCGGATGCCCTTCCTGACGCAACCCTGATTCGAACCCTTAACCACTAGCCTACCAGGGACGGCTTTAATGGCCCAGCTATATGAAGCGCCGATAACACACAAAGTACAAATCCCATAATGCAGCGCAACAGCTGCCTTACCGACTGATAGGCTACCTGCGATAATTCCCGCGTCAATTACGTCAGATCAATCAAGCGTCTGTTGATGTATACAACCCTAATTTCAAGTTAAAGCTAGCCCCTAACAATGGCCAAGAAAAAAGTTGATTCTGAAAACAGAGCCTTTCAAAACCGGTGGGAGGCTGAGTATATGTTTACTGTCATTGCCGGTAAACCCGTGTGTCTTATTTGTGGAGCTAATGTGGCTGTAATTAAGGAATATAACCTAAGACGGCACTACGAGACAAAACATCAGGACAAGCTGAAAAATGTGAATGGAGAGCAGAAGCTACAGAAGGTAGAGGAGTTGAAGAGGAATCTGACATCACAGCAGACGTTTTCACCAAAGCGAAATAGCAAGTTTTATTGCGGCAGAGGAGAAAATGAGCCCGGACATTTACCGAGGGAGAGTTTCTAAAGAGCAGCATGATGAAAGTGTGCGATGTCTTGTGTCCAGAAAAAAAGCAGGTGTTTGCAAATGGAAGCCTTAGCAGAAATACGGTTGCTGATTTTAAGTTTATTTATTTTGGAATAATATTATATCCTGTCTTGTTTCGATTCATATTTATGTTCAAAAAACGTTTAGTTTGTCTGTTCAATAAATGTTTATCCTGTTCGGCCCACGACCTAAAGTGTGCTTTGAGTTTTGGCCCCCTGTGCGATTGAGTTTGACACCCCTGCTCTAAATAATAGTCACCGGTTCGTGTTAAAATGTCCAGTGCAATTGGGTCAACCCCTTTCGACATATGGCCCTTCCTATGCCTACATCACTGCTACTTCCTTAAATGTAGGGTATAACAAATGCTGGCTGTGGCAGGGGTTCTCAAACTTAATATTCAAAGCGCCGAATCTATGATTGATTCTACCTTGTGTTAGGTATTTTTTAGTCAGATAGATATTGGTTATATACTTGCTGTATTAGAAATGTTTAGTGGAGACAGGATGTCTAGGTAGGCTGTTAAATGCTTAGTCATTCTCATGAGTTTTTTGCAGGGTGCATATGGTCAAGGATAACTAGATAGAAAAGTTTGATTGTCAGCAGGCAGGATGATTATTGTTATTATTATGATATGTTTAACCGTAATTGTAATCATAATATTTTCTTATGTTTAATGTCATGACATGTCACTAGATGTCATGTCAGAATGTTCTTAGATACACACCACTTAATCAACACTCAACATTGATTTTCTCCATGTTTTGACTACTGCTACGGTCAGC